GCTGTGTCAGGGTAATACTGTATCTTTACCCTCCCTAAAAAGTGACACTGGCTGTGTCAGGGTAATACTGTAACTTTACCCTCCCTAAATAGCTGACATCGGCTGTGTCAGGGTAATACTGTAACTTTGCCATCCCTAAATAGCTGACACTGGCTGTGTCACGGTATTACTGTAACTTTACCCTCCCTTAATAGCTGACACTGGCTGTGTCAGGGTAATACTAACCGTACCTTTGCCATCCCTAAATAGCTGAAACTGGCTGTGTCACGGTATTACTGTAGCTTTACCCTCCCTTAATAGCTGACACTGGCTGTGTCACGGTATTACTGTAGCTTTACCCTCCCTTAATAGCTGACATGGGCTGTGTCAGGGTAATACTTACTGTAACTTTACCTTCCCTAAATAGCTGACACTCGCTGTGTCAGGTTAATACTGTAACTTTCCCCTCCCTAAATAGCCGACACTGGCTGTGTCATGGTAATACTAACTGTAACTTTACCTTCCCTAAATAGCTGACACTGGCTGTGTCAGGTTAATACTGTAACTTTACCCTCCCTAAATAGCTGACACTGGCTGTGTCATGGTAATACTAACTATAACTTTACCCTCCCTAAATAGCTGACACTGGCTGTGTCAGGTTATACTGTACCTTTACTCTCACTAAATAGCTGACAATGGCTGTGTCAGGGTTATACTGTAACTTTACTCTCACTAAATAGCAGACACTGGCTGAGGCAGGGTAATACTGTAACTTTGCACTCCCTAAATAGCTGACACCGGCTGTGTCAGGGTAATACTGTAACTTTGCACTCCCTAAATAGCTGACACTGGCTGTGTCAGGGTAATACTTACTGTAACTTTTCCCTCCCTTAATAGCTGACATCGGCTGTGTCAGGGTAATACTAACTATAACTTTGCCCTCCCTAAATAGCTGACACTGGCTGTGTCAGGGTAATACTGTAACTTTACCCTCCCTAAAAAGTGGTACTGGCTGTGTCAGTGTAATACTGTAACTTTACCCTCCCTAAATAGCTGCCATCGGCTGTGTCAGGGTAATACTGTAACTTTGCCCTCCCTAAATAGCTGACATCGGCTGTGTCAGGGTACTACTAATAGTAACTTTGCCCTCCCTAAATAGCTGCCACTGGCTGTGTCAGGGTAATACTGTAACTTTACCCTCCCTAAATAGCTGACATTGGCTGTGTCAGTGTAATACTGTAACTTTACCCTCCCTAAATAGCTGACATCGGCTGTGTCAGGGTAATACTGTAACTTTGCCCTCCCTAAATAGCTGACACTGGCTGTGTCAGGGTAATACTAACTGTAACTTTGCCCTCCCTAAATAGCTGACATTGGCTGTGTCAGGGTAATACTAACCGTAACTTTGCCCTCCCTAAATAGCTGACACCGGCTGTGTCAGGGTAATACTGTAACTTTACCCTCCCTTAATAGCTGACATGGGCTGTGTCAGGGTAATACTTACTGTAACTTTGCCATCCCTAAATAGCTGACATCGGCTGTGTCAGGGTAATTCTTACTGTAACTTTACCCTCCCTTAATAGCTGACACTGGCTGTGTCAGGGTAATACTGTAACTTTACCTCCCTAAATAACTGACACTGGCTGTGTCAGGGTAATACTGTAACTTTACCTCCCTTAATAGCTGCCATCGGCTGTGTCAGTGTAATACTGTAACTTTACCCTCCCTAAATAGCTGCCACTGGCTGTGTCAGGGTAATACTAACTATAACTTTACCCTCCCTAAAAAGTGACACTGGCTGTGTCAGGGTTATACTGTAACTTTACCCTCCCTAAATAGCCGACACTGGCTGTGTCATGGTAATACTAACTATAACTTTGCCCTCCCTAAATAGCTGACACTGGCTGTGTCAGGGTAATACTGTAACTTTACCCTCCCTAGATAGCTGACACTGACTGTGTCAGGGTAATACTGTAACTTTACCCTCCCTAAATAGCCGACACTGGCTGTGTCAGGGTAATACTAACTATAACTTTACCCTCCCTAAAAAGTGACACTGGCTGTGTCAGGGTTATACTGTAACTTTACCCTCCCTAAATAGCCGACACTGGCTGTGTCATGGTAATACTAACTATAACTTTGCCCTCCCTAAATAGCTGACACTGGCTGTGTCAGGGTAATACTGTAACTTTACCCTCCCTAGATAGCTGACACTGACTGTGTCAGGGTAATACTGTAACTTTACCCTCCCTAAATAGCTGACACTGGCTGTGTCAGGGTAATACTGTAACTTTACCCTCCCTAAATAGCTGACACTGGCTGTGTCAGGGTAATACTGTAACTTTACCCTCCCTAAATAGCTGACACTGGCTGTGTCAGGGTAATACTGTAACTTTACCCTCCCTAAATAGCTGACACTGGCTGTGTCAGGGTAATACTGTAACTTTACCCTCCCTAAATAGCTGACACTGGCTGTGTCAGGGTAATACTGTAACTTTACCCTCCCTAAATAGCTGACACTGGCTGTGTCAGGGTAATACTAACTATAACTTTACCCTCCCTAAAAAGTGACACTGGCTGTGTCAGGGTTATACTGTAACTTTACCCTCCCTAAATAGCCGACACTGGCTGTGTCATGGTAATACTAACTATAACTTTGCCCTCCCTAAAAAGTGACACTGGCTGTGTCAGGGTAATACTGTAACTTTACCCTCCCTAAATAGCTGACACTGGCTGTGTCAGGGTAATACTGTAACTTTACCCTCCCTAAATAGCTGACACTGGCTGTGTCAGGGTAATACTGTAACTTTACCCTCCCTAAATAGCTGACACTGGCTGTGTCAGGGTAATACTGTAACTTTACCCTCCCTAAATAGCTGACACTGGCTGTGTCAGGGTAATACTGTAACTTTACCCTCCCTAAATAGCTGACACTGGCTGTGTCAGGGTAATACTGTAACTTTACCCTCCCTAAATAGCTGACACTGGCTGTGTCAGGGTAATACTGTAACTTTACCCTCCCTAAATAGCTGACACTGGCTGTGTCAGGGTAATACTGTAACTTTACCCTCCCTAAATAGCTGACACTGGCTGTGTCAGGGTAATACTGTAACTTTACCCTCCCTAAATAGCTGACACTGGCTGTGTCAGGGTAATACTGTAACTTTACCCTCCCTAAATAGCTGACACTGGCTGTGTCAGGGTAATACTGTAACTTTACCCTCCCTAAATAGCTGACACTGGCTGTGTCAGGGTAATACTGTAACTTTACCCTCCCTAAATAGCTGACACTGGCTGTGTCAGGGTAATACTGTAACTTTACCCTCCCTAAATAGCTGACACTGGCTGTGTCAGGGTAATACTGTAACTTTACCCTCCCTAAATAGCTGACACTGGCTGTGTCAGGGTAATACTAACTATAACTTTACCCTCCCTAAAAAGTGACACTGGCTGTGTCAGGGTAATACTGTAACTTTACCCTCCCTAAATAGCTGACACTGGCTGTGTCAGGGTAATACTAACTATAACTTTACCCTCCCTAAAAAGTGACACTGGCTGTGTCAGGGTAATACTGTAACTTTACCCTCCCTAAATAGCTGACACTGGCTGTGTCAGGGTAATACTAACTATAACTTTACCCTCCCTAAAAAGTGACACTGGCTGTGTCAGGGTAATACTGTAACTTTACCCTCCCTAAATAGCTGACACTGGCTGTGTCAGGGTAATACTAACTATAACTTTACCCTCCCTAAAAAGTGACACTGGCTGTGTCAGGGTAATACTGTAACTTTACCCTCCCTAAATAGCTGACACTGGCTGTGTCAGGGTAATACTAACTATAACTTTACCCTCCCTAAAAAGTGACACTGGCTGTGTCAGGGTAATACTGTAACTTTACCCTCCCTAAATAGCTGACACTGGCTGTGTCAGGGTAATACTGTAACTTTACCCTCCCTAAATAGCTGACACTGGCTGTGTCAGGGTAATACTGTAACTTTACCCTCCCTAAATAGCTGACACTGGCTGTGTCAGGGTAATACTGTAACTTTACCCTCCCTAAATAGCTGACACTGGCTGTGTCAGGGTAATACTGTAACTTTACCCTCCCTAAATAGCTGACACTGGCTGTGTCAGGGTAATACTGTAACTTTACCCTCCCTAAATAGCTGACACTGGCTGTGTCAGGGTAATACTGTAACTTTACCCTCCCTAAATAGCTGACACTGGCTGTGTCATGGTAATACTAACTGTAACTTTACCCTCCCTAAATAGCTGACACTGGCTGTGTCAGGTTATACTGTAACTTTACTCTCACTAAATAGCTGACAATGGCTGTGTCAGGGTTATACTGTAACTTTACTCTCACTAAATAGCAGACACTGGCTGAGGCAGGGTAATACTGTAACTTTGCACTCCCTAAATAGCTGACACCGGCTGTGTCAGGGTAATACTGTAACTTTGCACTCCCTAAATAGCTGACATCGGCTGTGTCAGGGTAATACTGTTGCTTTGCACTCCCTAAATAGCTGACACTGGCTGTGTCAGGGTAATACTTACTGTAACTTTACCCTCCCTAAATAATGACACTGGCTGTGTCAGTGTAATACTGTAACTTTACCCTCCCTAAATAGCTGCCATCGGCTGTGTCAGGGTAATACTGTAACTTTGCCCTTCCTAAATAGCTGACACTGGCTGTGTCAGGGTAATACTGTATCTTTACCCTCCCTAAAAAGTGACACTGGCTGTGTCAGGGTAATACTGTAACTTTACTCTCCCTTAATAGCTGACACTGACTGTGTCACGGTAATACTAACTAACTTTGCCCTCCCTAAATAGCTGACACTTGCTGTGTCAGGGTAATACTGTAACTTTACTCTCCCTAAATAGCTGACACCAGCTGTGTCAGGGTAATACTTACTATAACTTTACCCTCACTAAAAAGTGACACTGGCTGTGTCGGGGTAATACTGTTACTCAATCTGATTAAAATCATCTGAATGTGCCGCGGTCTGGGATCCTTTAATACCAAAACTTAAATTGGTATGTTACAAAGTTACTTATTAAACATAAACACATTGTCTGACCTTGTTTCATTATTTAGGTGCGATCCATTGAACGAGAAAGAGTGACGGAAAAGAAAGTGAACATTCCTGATTTAGCAGACTTCCTCCAACCAAAGAATCAAACTTATAAAATGTAAGATATTGTACTGATGATATCTTTATTTTTTTCCATATTAGGTTTTTTTCAAAGGACTATTTAGATTTTTTATATAAATCAGTTTATCTAACAGAAAATGTTGTGGTTGTATTAAAAGAAATTGTTATTTTGGCTCAAGACAGTATTTTTTTTTATCCAGTAATGACTTAAACTGTTTACTGACCTGTTGCAGAAAATGAACCTCATAGTTTTTTCTTGCGTTATAAGTAGAATAGATCTCTTTTATTTGATTTTTTTTATAGGATTCTTTCTTGTAAAAGTAAAAAAATGAATCTTTCCAACATTTTCTCAAGATATTGATGTTTTGACAGGTTGGAACTCCAAACTTCACATTAGGGTTTAGGTGACCCCAACTTTTTGTTTTCTGCAAACTTTATTTTTTTCTAGAGCCTAAAATATTTGTAATAAGGATGTTTAGAAATTATTTGATATAGTAGGACGAAATCCAGGATACACTAAATTGCCCACTTTCTGCAGCCTGTGTATCATGAAGCCTTGATATTTCCATTTGTTAAAAAGGCACTCTATAATGTATTAAAGTTGTAAGATATTTCATTGAGGGTATGTCCAGTTTTCAAGTGTTACTCGCATCACGAAAAGATTTTGCATAATCAAAATTCATGTACAGATTGTTTGTGGTAATAAAAAGCCCTTGAGAGAGCTTTTAAATATTACTTGTTGCATATATGTGACATGAACTAAATATTCCTGTATCTTTTATTTGGTAGAGATCAAAATGAAGCGCAGCTGAATCCAAGTGGAAAAAGTTCATCAGCCATTTATCAGCCTCATTCTGAATACAGTCAATCATCTTCAAACCTAACATTAAATTTCTCGTTTATACTGATGGAAGGGGGAAGACTTGCTCCGAACCTTCGTAGGAAACTAGAGTCTCAGGTAGCTCATTTATCAGCCTCATTCTGAATAGTCAATCATCTTCAAACTTAACATTAAATTTCTCGTTTATACTGATGGAAGGGGGAAGACTTTCTCCGAACCTTCGCAGGAAACTAGAGTCTCCGGTAGATCATTTATCAGCCTCATCCTGAATACTGTCAATCATCTTAAAACTTCACATTAAATTTCTCTTTTATACTGATGGAAGGGGGAAGACTTGCTCCGAACCTTCTTAGGAAACTAGAGTCTCAGGCAGATCATTTATCAGCCTCATGCTGAATACTGTCAATCATCTTAAAACTTCACATTAAATTTCCCGTTTATACTGATGGAAGGGGGAAGACTTTCTCCGAACCTTCGCAGGAAACTAGAGTCTCAGGCAGATCATTTATCAGCCTCATCCTGAATACTGTCAATCATCTTAAAACTTCACATTAAATTTCCCGTTTATACTGATGGAAGGGGAAAGACTTGCTCCGAACGTCGTAGGAAACTAGAGTCTCACGGGTATTGGTGTTACCCATTTTTGAGAACTTTCAATTTTATGCCGCCGCTCTTTTGGAGAAGGTTGGGGTTGGGTACATGTAGTTGATAACAATGACTATCCAGTCCGGGCTCCATTCAGTGTCATTACTATAGTGACTACATTTCAGAACGGATTTTGATCAAAATTTTCCTTTCACGAAGGCCAAGTTTAAGAATTCCCCAAAGGTGTTCGTATTTCAGGGTTCCAAGGCCAAATCCAAAAAAGGTCATCATTACTCTTTATAGAAATTTGTCTAACAATGACATGTTCATTTTTCTGGCAGCTCCCACAGTCAACAGTCATTTTCAGATGTTGATTTTTTTAATGGAATCCTTTTGAACATGTTTATTAGAGCATATTACCCTTATTGGTCTAATATGGTATATTGTTATAGCTGCGGGTGGATCAATTTTGTAATAACAATACCTCTTTGTATGTCCAGATTTTCAGTAAGGTATCATCCAGCCTGTCCTGGGTGCAGACCAAGTCTTTCGAAGTGGTGTGTGTCGAGCTGACCGCACCAGTATTAAAAGTCATATCAGCATTCCTAGATGTAAGTAATGGTACCTAGAAAACGTGGCACAATGTATCAATTCTGACATTTCATACTCTATGTTTTATGTCAATATTTGCTTGTTAAGCTCAAGAAATGATTTTTCAAAAACCTTGAATGTGTGTATGAGTGTACTTTGGGGATTTCCTTAAGTTGTTCTCTGTATAAAGGTTTAAATATTCTACACATGTTTACTTGCTTGTTTATTTCAAATTTGATAAGTTTTGTCCTGGTAGCATTTCATGTCTTACCTTTTGTACAAAATCCATAATTAATAAATTTCTGTTGGACTTTTTTTTTTATCAGTCAGTCCTGCTAATCGTATGCAGAGAGATTTCTGATCAAGTATTTGGTGCTTACAGAACTTGTTGCATTTTTAATGCGAATTCTTAAAAATAAAAATGCTCATTTTTTTACAAAAAAGTATTAAAGCTAACAGAGCATCAAGAAATGTGCATAAAGTTATACTTATAAATAATTATATCTGGTTTTCTTTTGCAGTTTGACAACTCAGAAAAAGATTATGAAGACAGCGTAGCTGTGGTGATGGAAAAGTAAGATGTGATACTTAATTTTATAGGACCAGGGACTTTGTGCTACCTTACAAATGTGATTTACCTATGATTTTTTGCTATAGTTACCTCCCCTGAAAATAACCTATTTCACTAGCTGTATTGATCCTAGTGTAATCAAAGTTAACATTCCTGTGGACCTTTCAAACTAACAAAGTCCCGTTATAAACGATATGTTATGGAATATTATTGTTCTTAGAATAGAACTCTTTTGGAAAAAGTTATTCAACAGAGATATACCCAGTGTAGGACATTTCACCAGTTAAATTGTGTTTAGGATATTCAATGTAGAGGACTTTCCATCAGGACTACAGATCATATTTCAGTTGACAAACAATTTCTAATGTATATATGTGTATGTCAAATTTCATTTGTAAGAGACATTAATTGATTAGACAATGCTAGACTAAATTTGTAATGTTTTTATTTTATCCAAAACATCTTAAATTAACCTTTAAATAGCTGTTTATAGGACACTAAACCCAATAACCCTGGGTTAGAAAGCATCCCTCATCTCACACTGTAATCCTGGGTTAGAAAGCATCCCTCAGCTCACACTGTAATCCTGGGTTAGAAAGCATCCCTCATCTCACACTGTAATCCTGGGTTAGAAAGCATCCCTCATCTCACACTGTAATCCTGGGTTAGAAAGCATCCCTCATCTCACACTGTAATCCTGGGTTAGAAAGCATCCCTCATCTCACACTGTAATCCTGGGTTAGAAAGCATCCCTCATCTCACACTGTAATCCTGGGTTAGAAAGCATCCCTCATCTCACACTGTAATCCTGGGTTAGAAAGCATCCCTGATCTCACACTGTAATCCTGGGTTAGAAAGCATCCCTGATCTCACACTGTAATCATGGGTAAGAAAGCATTCCTCATCTCACACTGTAATCATGGGTTAGAAAGCATCCCTGATCTCACACTGTAATCCTGGGTTAGAAAGCATCCCTGATCTCACGCTGTAATCCTGGGTTAGAAAGCATCCCTGATCTCACAATGTAATCCTGGGTTAGAAAGCATCCCTGATCTCACGCTGTAATCCTGGGTTAGAAAGCATCCCTGATCTCACAATGTAATCCTGGGTTAGAAAGCATCCCTGATCTCACAATGTAATCCTGGGTTAGAAAGCATCCCTGATCTCACGCTGTAATCCTGGGTTAGAAAGCATCCCTGATCTCACAATGTAATCCTGGGTTAGAAAGCATCCCTGATCTCACGCTGTAATCCTGGGTTAGAAAGCATCCCTGATCTCACAATGTAATCCTGGGTTAGAAAGCATCCCTGATCTCACAATGTAATCCTGGGTTAGAAAGCATCCCTGATCTCACAATGTAATCCTGGGTTAGAAAGCATCCCTGATCTCACAATGTAATCCTGGGTTAGAAAGCATCCCTGATCTCACACTGTAATCATGGGTAAGAAACCATTCCTCATCTCACACTGTAATCATGGGTTAGGAAGCATCCCTGATCTCACACTGTAATCCTGGGTAAGAAAGCATCCCTGATCTCACACTGTAATCTTGAGTAAGAAAGCATCCCTGATCTCACACTGTAATCTTGAGTAAGAAAGCATCCCTGATCTCACACTGTAATCCTGGATTAGAAAGCATCCCTGATCTCACACTGTAATCCTGGATTAGAAAGCATCCCTCATCTCACACTGTAATCCTGGGTTAGAAAGCATCCCTCATCTCACACTGTAATCCTGGGTTAGAAAGCATGCCTGATCTCACACTGTAATCATGGGTAAGAAAGCATCCCTCATCTCACACTGTAATCATGGGTTAGAAAGCATCCCTGATCTCACACTGTAATCATGGGTAAGAAAGCATTCCTCATCTCACACTGTAATCATGGGTTAGGAAGCATCCCTGATCTCACACTGTAATCCTGGGTTAGAAGGCATCCCTGATCTCACACTGTAATCCTGGGTTAGCAAGCAACCCTGATCTCACACTGTAATCCTGGGTTAGAAAGCATCCCTCATCTCACACTGTAATCCTGGGTTAGAAAGCATGCCTGATCTCACACTGTAATCATGGGTAAGAAAGCATTCCTAATCTCACACTGTAATCATGGGTTAGAAAGCATCCCTGATCTCACACTGTAATCCTGGATTAGAAAGCATACCTGATCTCACACTGTAACCCTGGATTAGAAAGCATCCCTGATCTCACACTGTAATCCTTGTTCACAGGTTACAAAGACACAGGAAATACCTCAGCAAAATAACGGACCAATTGTATCAACTCAAGTTTGAGAAAAAGTGAGTACATGCAACTAGCAAACATTCTGCTGAGTATACTGAAACTAAATTTAGATACAGCAGATGAAACGTTATTTAAAGGATTGCAGCATTGTATTACTTGTAGGCTTTCAATTAAAAACTAATACTGACTTAACTTTTATGTTGCTTATGATATGAGAACTCCTCTGTGTACTCCACTGTCATCTCAATCTCCAATTTTACAATGGATCTTGGTGTTTAGTATCATTTGTTGTTCAACGTCTCAGTTAACATGCACCATAATTAATACTGTTGATTTCTCTTTAAACGAAAATGATGATATCTGACTTGTGTGTTCCTTCTGTTTCAGGTGTGCGTTTGTGGTTCTGTATGGAAGTAAAGACGACAGTTTGAGACTGCTCATGTAATTTCATTAAATTTCATTAATTTATCATTGATCAAGTGATGTGTGTCATGTGATGAATCATGTGATCAGTGTCATGTGATGATCATGTGACTTGACACTGGATTACCATTGCTCAATGTGTGTAAGTGTGTTTGTGCTGTTACCAGAGGAATGTGCTGAAGAAAAGGAGGACATGATTTTCAAAGGAACTCAATGGTATAAAAATGTGATATTTTCTTTAAAGATCTATTTTATCCTATTTGATATGAATGTACGTTTTTCGTAATGGATGATTTTAAGACCTCCAAAGCATCATGGGAAATAGTCTTCCGAAATGAAAATTATAAACTGCCATTTTGCTTGAATAGTAGTTGTAGTGATGAACCTTCCCAAAATCTCTCATCCAAACCCATTTTTTGATGAATAATTTGTTTGAATAGCGTCAGAACCGCAGCTATAAATCCTGAACCGAGATATCCACTATATCTCTTAGTAATAGGACTCATTAGTTTTTGAAAAAAACAATAGACACATTTGATATGATGTACCTGGTAACATTGAAGAACATTGTATAATGAAATATTGCAATATTTTTGGGAGATGCTACGTATAAAATAGTGTCACAAAAAAAATGCTGTATAAAATTACAACTAAGCTACGTTACAATATCAGTCTGCTGTTGCTCTCGGTGGTACACATACGCTGTCGTCCATCTTGTATCTCCGTGTCGGGCTGTCAAGTGTGAAGTAATTCATGGTATTGGCTCCAGATAACTGCAGCACAATAATTATAGTTTCTCCAGGTTGCCCTACAATTCATAAAAAATGACTTTTACGGTCACTGTAGGTTTTTTGTCCAGACTGAATGGAAGATAACCCTACACAATATTTGAAAACCAACAGGTTGTCGGCGATCTATAGGTTGTTGAGACAAACATCACTCCCATAGTGTTTACTGTGTTAGATCTGGAAATTTTGAATTCAGGTATTTTGATGGGTTGTCTGAGGGGGTTGAACAATTTACCAGATAAATTATATCATTGAAGTGTATTTGCTACAGTCAAGATACAACTGTGTAACTTGCATTGTAGTTGTTGGTGACCTCTTAGTGACCTTTGGTAACTGAAGGGACCTCTGCTTCAAATGTGATGTTTAGACATCGATGAAGCACATGTATGTCTAAATATAAAGTTACTGTAGTCTGCATACTAGTGGTAATTTTAGCGTTAAACCATAAATGCATGCTGCTGGAAAATTGTTACAGAAATATGAGTGAACTTAAATGCTAGGTATATAAGTTTACAGTAATTGTTTTTAGTGCCATGTTTTTGTTGGAAAATATTGTATTGCTTATGTTTTTGTCATTTGTGTCAACTTCTTGATTGAAATCTATAAACCAAGAGTGCCAACTTTGAAATGAAAATTAAAAAATCAGAAACCTTGTGACAAAATATTAAAATGTAAAAATATCAAAGAAATACATGGAATAACCCATGTTTGACAACTATTAGTTCAGAATACCATGGGCCACCGTCACTATCAGCTGTTCTTTGCTACAAATAATTGAATACGTGCAAAAAGCAAGATAAAGAAAACCGGTTGATTTGTTAGTCACGAGTCTCCCTTCAAACCATAGGGAGACTTAGCTAAGCATACAGTAAGTATATATGTATAGTTAAAGTGGTTATGTGTTTCAAAGTAATCTCATATTTCTCTCTCTCTCCTCGTGTGTCTCTTCCATCTCCACGACAAGCCTGTTTCTCTTTCTGTTGGTGTGTTACGTTCTGTCTATCTCAATGACTGTTTGTCTTGTGTTTTATTGTGTGATGACCGAATGTAAATGTTTCTAAGAATGTGTGTGTTCCTGTCTTTCCCCCACCTCTGTTGGATAAAGTGCAATATATGTGTATGTATATTTATTATCACCTGCCATGGGCAAATAAAATATAATTTTAAAAAGGTAAAATAATAGTTTGTTTAAACTTTTTAAAATAATATTTTTATTAACTTATTATAGAAGATAATATATTCTTCTCTCCTGTTTGCCTGCGGGTGATTAATTGAACAATGTAGAGAATTGTACATACAAATTACCATATTTGCTCTAATTTGTGCCCAGGGTGCTAACATATTTGGGTTAAATGGAAGATTTATTTGGATTATAAAATGTGAATTATGATAGAAAAAGCTGTGCATTTTTGAAATGTTGCTTAAGTACCAGTATAACAGAAAGACATTATAAACATCCCAGTGTGGCTGGAGGTTTGGATATCAAATGTTTTATCCTCTTCAGGGAAAGTTGAGCCATAATCTTAGCCATAATCACCAGACATAAATCTCTGTTTAAAAAGTGTAAGTACATGTACTGTAAATAATTGACCAGGCATGGGAAGGTCAGGGATGGGGAAGGGGTTGGTAGAATTACGATTTATCCTTAAAAAGGGGGAAGGGCACTATTTATGGCAAATACGGTAGGGTAGTACAATCAAAGCCAGTCTGACTATTAAATGAAAATGTCACACAAAATTTGATATTGACTGTAAAAAAGGTAGTTTTGCTGGGTGTGAATTTTGCACATTTACTCGCAGCCACGTTATTGTAAATTTACACGACCTCCTGTATGTAGGCATTATTGTCAATTTAATGGGGTAAATAATACGGACAGTTTAAAAAACATGTTAGGAGTATGAATTATCTGACTGGAAACTGTTCATGTTTGTAGTATGGTCCATACGTATGTCTTCCATATATGTTCATTGTCAACTGACCTAGTCAATATTTTATGGCTTAATGGTGATTCGAATATGAAAATGTCACTATGTATTGTTGCCTTGATATCTGTCCTTGTAAATAACATTTCTATTTGTTAATGATACCTGGGAAAGTATTTCACCAGAACCCTTCTGTTACATAGGTGATATTTTTTAATCACATTACATAGTAATTACATTACAAGATGTCTTGCATATTTCCTAGATATAAATGAAGAGTTGGAAACAGACTTTTAATTAAGATTTTTAAAAATTACATTCAGTTTTTGCTCTGCTAAATCAGATGTTCATTCTTGCAACGAGTTGTTATGGAGTATAAATCTGTTTTTGTCTTTGGTATAAAAACAAATCTGAACAGATAGGATGTTCAGTGAAATTTACATACACCTGCCTAATGTTAAAGTTATGTGTTATCGGACATGATTGTATGTCTTCTTACAGTGAAACCTGACTCATATCCAGCATATATTTACAAAAGACTTATTTATCCATGTTTTAACCTGAACTTTTATGACACAATGCTTTTCTGACAAAACGATTCTGTATCCCTTGATGTTGGTATAGACAGGTTTCACTGTATTGCAATCAAAATGTCTGATATTCTGATAGTGGTGGTAGTAACTGTGGACTCCAGAGAGAATTGTCTCCCTTTACTGCCAGACATCTTCCTTGTTTTCTCGGTGAAGTGAGAGTACAAACGCTGTACTCGAGAACTAAGATTGTGTGTTAACGCCTGTTACTTTAGACTGAAGATAAGTGTGGGGAAAAAAATCAAAATCACAACATTCCGTAAAGGAGACCCTGGAGAAATTTCTTTTGAAGTTGAGCGGAAAATCTTACCACTGTGTTAAGGATTTCTCTGCCTCCAGCATACAGGAGTGATTGTGTTAGTATTGATGACCGAATTGCCAGTTAGAGATTGTTCTGTTTGTTCCTTACACATGCAATAAAATTGGAATTATTTTCTCAGTAATAGTTTTGTCTTTATTTATAGATAACAATAAAGGCTTTAATAGTAATTTGTACTATTCTTAACAATTGTGGGGAGGGGGACATACACATACACAGGTAGTGTAACAAAAAAAATGTTGGGGTGGGTGGGTGCATACACATACACAGGTAGCGTAACAAAAAAAAAGTTGGGGTGGGTGGGTGCATACACATACACAGGTAGCGTAACAAAAAAAAGTTGGGGTGGGTGGGTGCATACACATACACAGGTAGTGTATCAAAAAAGATTGGGGGGGGGGGTCCATGTTTACCTTTATTTCACATTAAAATACTGTTAGTTATGGGAGAAAAATAATCAATCGCTACTGGTTGTGTAAGATAGAGAAATCTCAACCCTCGGACTAAGATTTTTGTCCAGAACTCGGCAAGCCTCGTTCTGGACAAAAAATCTTAGTCCTCGGGTTGAGATTTCTCTATCTTACACAACCTGAGTAGCGATAGATTCTATTAATCCTCGATGTTTCCACGATGACTAGATGTTGCTCTTTCTCAGGGTCAGTTTTCTGGCTCCCTCTCAGTTCATCCAGCTACCTTGCTTCCTCATTCCAACTGTCCATGATCTTCCTTTTCCATTGATCTTATTGCCTTGTACCGTTTCTTTTCTATTTCACCCTTTGCACATTTCAGTTGACTCTTGTGATCATACCCAGTCCTATGTCTGTGCAACAATTCCGATAATATTACTTTGTCGGAGCTTTGAGTCTTCCATTTAGTCGCTTCTCCTACCTTCTACTTTTAGCATCGGATTCTCCCGGTTCTTACTTTCACCCTTTTCACCTATTCGTATTCAATCAATCAAGAAAAAAATATCTTGTGTCATTATCATTTTTTTAAACACATTCAAGTTTGATTTTAAAAACAAGTATTAACGACCGTAGCAATATATATCTCCGTATACAGCAACATCTGTGGTTATTGGATTATCGAACAAAATTAAGATGCCCTGAAATGTTTGTACTGTGCCCATTTGCAACAATGTATACATAAAAACGGACTGATAAAAGGGGCGCAGTGGGAAAAGCTCTTTGTTTTAAAATTTCTTACAAATATTTTTTACATTGTTTTCTGTGGACATTGGTTATGTTATTATATAGTTTTAAGTGTATGGCATAAATCAGAGATAAAATCAATTTTATTTGAATTTCTCTCAAAGTCTGTATTACAAGTCATTTACGCTGAACAGTCAACAGTTGAAATTACTAAAAGTTTGGTTGATTGCGTTTGTTTGAGATTCCACAATTTCCTAGTCGTTATATATACATAGCTAACATGTAACTACATTTACGTCATGAAGAGATGAATAAATCACGTGTAACATGTTTTAAATATTTATTTTGCCAATAAATCAACTCTGTTATCAACAAGCATGAAGATGTGTTTATGTTACGTTGTGGTCCTACGTATACACATGATGTGTTATAACTTGGCTGCTTAAAGTTCTATGCCCGGAGTGTATAACGTTAATTTAAAGTACATTAAGATTTGTCTTTCAAATGTGAATCATAAATCAGAACCCCCCAGAAAATGTAAACACCGAGATTGAAAAAAGGGGGAAAATGACGAGCAAGGCAACTTTAATGTAGTTCTTTAGTGCAGCTGCTTGACACAGGTTTTTTTAGGGGAGATAACCTAATACACATCACACAGGTGAAAACATCCGGGTAGTGTTGTTTTCTCCGTCATTATGACGCTTAATTATAGTTGTAAACAGAGTAACAAAAACAATAGGATGAATAAATTGGTTTTTACATTTAAACAAACTAGAAAACAACTTCCTTATCTCTTGCAAACTTTCAGCTGTCACGATGACCATGCAGGTCCGCTTGCTATCAGCTCAACTAAACATTTTGCTGATCGAGACACCTGTACACAGAAAATGTCAAAGTTGGTTGACCTAGTTGATTAGAGGGAAAATGAACCTATCGAAAATGCATTTTATCTGAGTTTGTGGACTTGTACTACTTCGAGAGTCAAACCATGCCGACCAGAAGGTAAAGTAATTCGTTTTTACCCTTTGAACTTTCTCATTAGGCACAGGTGTTGTCCATGTGTACACTGTCTGATTCTGATCGGTAGAAAGGATTGTTGACAATATATATGTCGGTAGCTTTCGTCCAGTTGATGTTATGACAGTACGTAACAGTAGATACTAAATACTATACTATAATTCATTCACCTCATTAGTTTATGTATCATAACATCGATTTTATACAGATTAACAATGTATCAAAAGTATAGGTGTGTGTTTTTTTCGTAAATTTCTGCTCCACTGCACTTACATCATTCAAAGTACTTCCTAAAACTCACAGGAGTGTGACAACATTGATTGGTTCATTATGACACATAATTCATAAGTAATTACCTGTACAGCTTACCTGTCTAACAAATTCCATTGTCATGGTGGTTTTCAAAGTGTTAGTATTCAGAAACAGTTAGTGTTTTGTCATTTGTCTTGTATCAGATTTACATGTTTCTAAGCAGGTAGTCACCGAACCATATATATATATATAATGTATACAAAAAGTAACGAAAGCTACATGCGATGACTTATAATGTCCCATGAATGCTCCCCCTATTGCCATTCAAATAATTTCTACCCCCATCCTGGCTGCGATAACATAGTTTCTGAAGATGACACAAGTTTTATTGTACATTGCGTTGCAATGCGGAGGCCAGGTATAATATTAGTACTAGCTCGCCCCATCTGTATTTTCTCCACGTCAATATTTCGTTGAATGCCATGTGTACATCTCCCAATCTCAGTAGATATTCCATTAGATATCCAGGTACATGTTTACCATCACTCTACCAAAGAATACCCTTTTACAATGTATGCCTGATCTACAATAAACTTTCATGTGAACTGACATCTAATAAAAATAAATACTCCTGTGTAGACCCCTCTATTAAAAAATCAATCCTGTGTACTCAGATTCCTTTGAACTCCTTGTGAACAAAACCCTTATTGGGATGAGTGTTTTTGTGTAACCCCTGAACAACACGAGGCAACCCCTGTCAAAACAAGCATCTCAAGGTACTACCTCCCACCCTATCACAGTGAACAAGAATAATCCCTTAGTTGTGTACCAAACCCCTTGCAGAATGAGCATCTTCGGCTACCCTCCTCTATCACAGTTAATAAGACCAATACCTTGAGTACCCAATCCTTTCAGAATGAGCTGAGTGACCCCTTTCCAATAATGTCCCTGTATGATACACCTTAAGCTTCATCCCAATGTTTGATGAATATATATATATATATAGACAACAAATCACCCCAAACTACCGTACCTAATTGTTTCAAAATATATATCCAAATCATTAACCAGTGTTGGGATCGGTTGAAATTTTATGATAAATCATTGGTTACCATCCAAATGAACTGATAAATAATTGGTTACCATCCAAATGAACACCCGTGCATATTTCAAAAACCCTCAACCTAATAAATGCCCCTGTGTACTTTTCTCCACTCCTATTCCAATGAGCACCCCTGATTAGTTCACCCACCCTCATCCTAATGAATGCCCCTGTGTACTGTACTCCACCCTCATCCTAATGAATGCTACTGTGTTCTGTACTCCACCCTCATCCTAATGAATGGCCCTGTGTACTGTATTCAACCCGCATCCTAATGAATGGCCCTGTATACTGTACTTCACCCTCCTCCTCATCCCCTGTGTACTCCTCCATTCATCCCAATGAACACCCTTGTGTACCCCAACATTCATCCCAATAAACACCCTTGTGTACTCCTGTATTCATCTTATTGAACACCTCTATGTAACCCCATATTCATCCCAATAAAAACCCTTGTGTACTCCAGTATTCATCCCAATGAACACCCTTATGTACCCCAACATTCATCCCAATGAACACCCTTGTGTACCCCAACATTCATCCCAATGAACACCCTTGTGTACTCCTGTATTAATCTTAATGAACACCTTCATGTAACCCCACATTCATCCCAATGAACACCCCTGTGTAACCTCTCACTAATCCTGATGATCACCCTTATGTGATACAGTATTTATCTTAATGAACACTCTTGTGTACCCCACATTAATTCCAGTGAACACCTCTGTGTACCCCCACATTGATCCTAATGAACACCCCTGTGTACCCCCACATTGATCCTAATGAACACCCCTGTGTACCCCAACATTCATCCTAATGAACACCCTTGTGTAACCCATCCACATTCATACCAATGAACACCTCTGTGAACTCCCACATTAATCCCAATGAACACTCCTGTGTACCCCCAAATTCATCTCAATGAACAACCCTGTGTACCCCAACATTCATCCCATTGAACACCCCTGAATACCCCATCCACATTCATCTGCATAAACATCACTGTGTACCCCATCCACATTCATACCAATGAACACCTCTGTGATCTTCCACATTAATTCCAATGAAAACTCCTGTGTACCCCCAAATTCATCAGAATGAATATCCCTGTGTACCCCAACATTCATCCTAATGAACACCCTTGTGTAACCCATCCACATTCATACCAATGAACACCTCTGTGAACTCCCACGTCAATCCTAATGAACACCCCTGTGAACTCCCACATTCACCCCAATGAATACCCCTGTGTAACCCAACATTCATCCCAATAAACACCATTGTGTTCCCCATTCACATTCATACCAATCAACATTCATACCAATGAACACCCCTGTGTTCCCTGCATTCATCCCAATAAACACCCCTGTGTACCCCCATTCATCCCAATAAACACCCCTGTGTACCCCACATTCATACCAATGAACACCTCTGTGAACCCCCACGTTAATCCCAATGAACACCCCTGTGAACTCCCACATTCACCCCAATGAACACCCCTGTGTTACCCCACCACATTCACCCCAATGAACACCCCTGTGTTACCCCACATTCATCCCAATAAACACCCTTGTGTACTCCATTCACATTCATACCAATCCACATTCATACCAATGAACACCCCTGTGTTCCCTGCATTCATCCCAATAAACACCCCTGTGTACCCCCATTCATCCCAATAAACACCCCTGTGTATCCCACATTCATACCAATGAACACCTCTGTGAACCCCCACATTAATCCCAATGAACACCCCTGTGAACTCCCACATTCACCCCAATGAACACCCCTGTGTTACCCCACATTCATCCCAATAAACACCCTTGTGTACTCCATTCACATTCATACCAATCCACATTCATACCAATGAACACCCCTGTGTTCCCTGCATTCATCCCAATAAACACCCCTGTGTACCCCCATTCATCCCAATAAACACCCTTGTGTACCCTATTCACATTTGTACCAATCCACATTTATCCCAATTAACACCCCTGTGTACCCCCATATTCATTCAAATAAACACCCTTGTGTACCCCATTCACATTCATACCAATCTACATATATCCCAATAAACATCTCTGTGTACCCTCACATTTTATCCAAATGAACACCCCTGTGTACTTCCATATTCACCCCAATGAACACCCCTGTATACTCTCTCATTTATCCCAATGAACACCCCTGTACCCCATCCATATGAACATTTTGTTCAATGTTATGTGGTGCAAACTATCAATTCTCCTGACAATATTTTTACTGTACATTTGTATCAAGTTTTTAAAAATAAAATATTATATAGACTACTGAATAAATTATAACTGTAAGTAGAATAGAAAATGTGAAAACATCACTTTGTTGACTAAAGGTAATTTAGTTAAGGATATCCCTTCCACTGCCACAGACTGTAACTATATATAAATTGTAGTTAAGGATCCCTGTACCACTGCCAGACACTGTAACTATAATATAAATTGTAGTTAAGGATCCCAGTACCACTGCCAACACTGTAACTATATATAAATACTGCCAACACTGTAACTATATATATAAATTGTCATTAAGGATGCCTGTACCAATGCCAACACTGTAACTATATATATAAATTGTCATTAAGGATGCCTGTACCAATGCCAACACTGTAACTATATATAAATTGTAGTTAAGGATCCCAGTACCACTGCCACAGACTGTAATTATATATAAATTGTCATTAAGGATGCCTGTACCAATGCCAACACTGTAACTATATATAAATTGTAGTTAAGGATCCCAGTACCACTGCCAACACTGTAATTATATATAAATTGTCATTAAGGATGCCTGTACCAATGCCAACACTGTAACTATATATATACATTGTCATTAAGGATCCCTGTACCACTGCCAACACTGTAACTATATATATAAATTGTCCTTAAGGATCCCTGTACCACTGCCAACACTGTAACTATATATAAATTGTCATTAAGGATCCCTGTACCATTGCCAGACACTGTAACTATATATAAATTGTCATTAAAGATCCCTGTACCACTGCCAACACTGTAACTATATATATACATTGTCATTAAGGATCCCTGTACCACTGCCATCACTGTAACTATATATATAAATTGTCCTTAAGGATCCCTGCACCACTGCCAACACTGTAACTATATATAAATACTGCCAACACTGTAACTATATATAAATTGTCATTAAGGATCCCAGTACCACTGCCACAGACTGTAATTATATATAAATTGTCATTAAAGATCCCTGTTCCACTGCCAACACTGTAACTATATATACATTGTCATTAAAGATCCCAGTACCACTGCCACAGATTGTAACTACATATAAATTGTCATTAAGGATGCCTGTACCACTGCCAACACTGCAACTATAATATAAATTGTCATTAAGGATCCCTGTACCACTGCAAACACGGTAACTATATATAAATCGTCATTAAGGATCCCATTACCACTGCCAACACTGTAACTATATATAAATACTGCCAACACTGTAACTATATATAAATTGTCCTTAAGGATCCCTGTACCACTGCCAACACTGTAACTATATATAAATACTGCCAACACTGTAACTATATATAAATTGTCCTTAAGGATCCCTGTACCACTGC